CAGAGATGCCTGCTTTTCTGTGACAACATCCTTAGATGCTACTACCTCCTTAAACACATGGCAAACTGGTAGTTATCTTTCTTAAGACAGATGCACTGACATTTTACTTATTCTAATCACCAACTTTTTGTTCAATTATAAACCAGTCTGAATGTTTTCAGACTATGAAACAATAAAAGCAGACTTGATGTATAAAACTGCACCCCACACTGTGTCTCTTTTTACAACAGAGTGGACCCAGTTTTTCTAACTATGAAATGCAACACTATGCGGCTGCTGGGCCCTGAATAGCCTTGTGCATCTGTGCCTGGGCAGCACACCTGTGTCCATGCACAGGTGAGTGACAGGAGCAGGTTCTCAGAGGCTGACAGAGCAGCAGAGGATCTGGCTAACGGAGGTTTTGGAGAAAGTCCCTTTGGGTTCTGAGTCACGTGGGAGGAGGCCAAGGGGCAAGTCTGTGTCTATGCACGTGGCTGAGACACCTGCCGCTCCCTTCCACATCCTTGTCATCCTCGGCAGGAGCATGAGCTGCCTGCTGGCCAAGAGAAGGCCCTCAATGTCCTCGCTGCCCTTCAGAGCTCTGGAAGCTCCCCAAGACCCTAACATCAGGCAGGCCCCCGTGGTGACCCTAGGTGGAGCAGGCCTACCTGTTCTGGTTCTAGGCATCTCCATAGTCAGCCTGTACCTTCCCTGGCATAAGTCATATCTGTTATGCAAGACCAAGCCTTAACCCTGAAACGCTGTTTTCTACCCAATGGGACAGAAATGAGGTGCAAGAGGCTACATGCATCTACTGCTGCTCTAATTAGCACAAGGGTGTTCAGAAGGCCGGGCTCATGTCAGTATCACTTCCCGCAGGAATCTACAGTCAACCTCACTGGAGAAATGACTTCCTAGAGGTGGGCCACTTACCCCACTCTAAAGTCGAGAGAGTCCAGTCTCAAGGCCCAGCATCAGGACTGGGGCATCTTGCTTTTATCCTGAGGAGTTCGAAAGCCTTACGGTTTTGATCTTAATGCCTGCTTGGAAGAGGCAGGAAGGGTGATGTTACTGTATTGTTGGAAAGTTCCCTGAAAGATTCATCCTACAGATAACACAGTTCACAGATGGTGAGCCATTTAGTAGGTAAGTGTTCCAGACCAGAATTTATGTTCCCCAACTCAAGGATTAATAGAATTTCACCTCTGGCCTGGGGGCAGTAGTGGTGGGAGGATGGGTAGCACATTGAAATTGAGATGAACCTGGAAATGACAAGATGGCTGCCTCTGTATCTTTTAGAGCCTATCTCCAGGGGGTTAAATGCCTTTTTTGCTGTTCTATTGGCCCCTGTTTGGGGTTAAGAACTGGGAATGTAAACCGAAGGAAACCTATTTAACTAAACACCCGATCAGAGGAACAGAAGCAGTGACTCGCCACCTCCTAGATATTAACCTTGCTTTTTCAGCCAAAAGCACTTCCCTCTTCTGCAGAGGCCCTCCTGGGGTGCTCAGTTCTGAGTCAAGGCGGCTTTCCTGTGCGCTCCCCTTGCCAGGTGGACAGTCTCATTCTCTAAGACAAGCTCAGGCTCACAAATCCTCACGATAAACAAAGCTTTAGGGGAGAGACATGCCTTTTCACTCCGAAAGCTTCATGAGATCAATCATGTGACTGCTGGCCTCAGCTCAAGTAGTCTGTTAGAATCAACACCAAATGGGATTCTTTCTGTATTTATTAATTTTTAAGGGATGGGGTTGCACAGAGTCGGACATGACTGAAGTGACTTAGCAGTAGCAGTAGTACAACAATTGCATTTATCTGAAGGTGGGAGGTATCCTTTTTTCAGATGGCCTGACTAGGCATTCCCCATACTGAAAGGTTATCAAACTAATGCAAAAACATTGTCAGAGTGTGAAGCTGCCCTTTCAGAGGCAGAAGTGGAAGGCTCCTGGCCTCCCAAGGAGAGTCTGCCTAAAATCTCCAGATTCCTAGGACTTGTGATGACCTCACAGGATGTAGTATAGTCTAAAGACTACAGTGTCTGGCAATTAACAATTTACTTGAAAATCTAGAATGTCTCACTGCTTTAGGTGACATATAAGGTGACACAGAAAACACAGCTCTTGGGGATGGTGTGGACTCTGTAAGAAGCTCACTCCAGAGCACAGAGACTGACTCTGGGGAACTTCCTCGCCTACGCCAGGTGAAGCGGGTGCCCTGATGGAGCAAGGCTGGGACCACTAAGGTCAAAGGCTGCACAGCCTTGTGGAAATAGGCTCCGACCCATCAGGGCTCGGAAGCAACAACTCCCACCCCAGCTGGGCAGTATGCACCGCACAGCCTCAGGACTGACCTCTTTTAGAGTGTTCAAGAACAAGAACCCGAGGAGCCACCTGCATCACTGAATCCCAATCTCCTCTCCCTAGAACTGCATGAGCTGACTGTCCTGCATGTCTCCTAGTTTTTGAAAAGAAGTGGATGTGCCTGTATTTGGGGTCAAGATGAAGCTACACTATCTAACTCTTCTCTCTAAGCAAAAATTTACCCCAATGTGGAGATTTCTCCAGGTTATTTCTTCTAGTTCTTAATCCACTGTTAACTAGGATGGGCTTCGAGAACACTTTGGAAATATTAAAAAATCATACAGTGGTGGCAAAAATTACATTGTGGTTATTAAATCTTTTTGTAAACTAAACTAAGTTAAACAAACAAACAAAATATGGCTCAGGCTAAGCTGTTTAAGAAAAAAAGATCAGGAGGGGAGATGAACAGAGGTGTTAACACAGCCCTGGATGGGAATAACAAACATGCTAAATGCGAAACGCACACCCAGGTTCAGCAGAAGACCCCTCTGGCTGAGGAGGTTTTGAAGCAGCCCCCAATGAGCACTGTACTGGAGAAGAGAAAGGGGAAGAGGAAGCGTGGTTTTGTGGGGAACTTTTCCTTCTAGAATTCAGGGTGACTTCTTCTAAGCGAGTCTGAGAGACTTTACATGGGCTGACTCCTAACATCGAAACAGAAACTATTTCTCTGCCATGAAGCAACTTAACTATGTAGCAACAGGAGTACAAAAAACTGCAAACACTCTCAGAGGGCAGCGACCCCGTCTACTCACCTGAGGCTGCCGGCAGCAAGGACTTGGGGGCTCCCTTCCTGCAGCTCTCACAATGAAATGCAAGGGGCGGAAGCCCTGTGGCCAAGCTACTTCCCAGGCCTGGCTTAGCCTCCAGCAGGTGATACTCCCCCACCTCTGACCCCTCCAGATGGCCTCAGCTCAGACCCCGTAGTGCAGGAGCCCTCTTCACACAGAGCAGGTAGGGCAGCAGACATTTGTAAAAACCGCAGTCAATCCTGCAACTTTTCCATCCTGTGATGTTTGCAGTGAGAAAAATCAAGACTTCTGTTTCATGGGCTGCACTGTCCTAGAGGCTACAAAAAACCCAACGTGGCTGACCCCTGGTAGTCCTCTTTCTCTCTTTCTTATACCCCCCCCCCCCACACACACAGAGTCCTGTTCCAAATGAAGAAAAAAAAAAATGTCATGATCTCACTGATGTTTCCCCAAGGGCTTCAAATTATGAACAAATTTAAATTTTAAAAATTCTATCACTATCTTTCTCCATCCCAAGTATGGTGGACTCCAATGGACACTCCAGTAGTAGCCAGACTCTAAGACATGTCCGCTCACTGTAAGAAAGAGATTTTGTGTCTGCCCTGAACACAGGAAGGAACCTGTTTCTAATAAGCCTGAAGAAGGTGAGTACTTGCAGAATTAATGGCAAATCAGTGTTGTTGGAACATTCTGCAAGTAAGGTAAACCTGGTGCTTTTCTCTGTTTTCAATTTTCTTTGGGGGAGACAGGCTCCTGCAACCATGCGTCCAAGTGATCTATCAAGACAGGGCTATAACTACGCATCAGGAGACAGCCATGGTGTTGACGGTGCCAGGGAGGGAAAAACACCAAGCCCCTATCACCAGAATCTCAGTGCAACAGACAAAAGCACCAGTTTCAACAATTCTGGAGTTGGACAAAGCCTCCTTTCGTCAGCTGAGGAAGCAGCAGCACAATCTCCCCAGTTAACTGCATTAATGGGATCCGTTCATGACTGAAAAACACTTCTTGGCACAGTTCATGTTCCTGACCCAAAGACACCAACAACAATCCAAACTGGATTTTGTAGGGTAGCGTATTATTATACCAGCCCAGTGAAAACTTCAGATCACTAAAAACGCACAAATTATTATTAATACTAACACGGCAGTTCCTATTTCAGGAGTACTGTCCAGTTTCAACAATTCTGGAGTTGGACAAAGCCTCCTTTCGTCAGCTGAGGAAGCAGCAGCACAATCTCCCCAGTTAACTGCATTAATGGGATCCATTCATGACTGAAAAACACTTGTTGGCACAGTTCATGTTCCTGACCCAAAGACACCAACAACAATTCAAACTGGATTTTGTAGGGTAGTGTATTATTATACCAGCCCAGTGAAAACTTCAGATCACTAAAAACGCACAAATTATTATTAATACTAACACGGCAGTTCCTATTTCAGGAGTACTGATTGTTTTCCTGCAAAGCACTTTCTGTATCATAAAGGCAGAACTTATTTGGAAGACTGTGTTTTGGGGATTCCATTTAGTGCCTAGTTGAATTTATTTTACAGTCCCCTTTATTTATTTGGACAGAACCCCAGAATGCTCTAAATGAGGCGATAAGCAGCAGTGTGTTCATTTCAAGTAGAACACGTGGACAGTGAGTTGGCATTTAGACTCAAATCCCATGGTGCTTTCTATCCACTGGGACCCTTCCGTGGGGACAGGATTCCTTTCCCAGAGGTAGAGTGGTGCTAAGGAAACCGCCAGCCCCGCTTTTTGGCTCTGTGTTTTAAGACTGGGAGAGAAGATGCAAACCAAGAATTGATAGCAAATTAAAGTTCAACTGACATTCCCCAAAACGTTGAACATTAAATGACCAGGCCTACCAGATACACACATTTCTCTTAGCGGGAGGGAAGAGCAAAAGTTTTTCAAAGTTTGAGTATTTATTAGACTTTTTAAATAAAGAGAACTACGATTTTAATTTCACATCTCGGCTGTGTTTTGACAAAGGAGATGCCACTAACAGTTTAGCAACAAACTCCTGTCCCAAAGCCAGGGATTGATCAGGGTCCCCCCGCTCCACCCCCAGTCTCTAGACCCTTTTCTGTGCACTTGTCTGCTAAACAGCACAACTGGCAAATGAAGCCAGCATCCAACCAGTATCAAAAACCAACAAGACAGTCTGCAGTGAGCCAACGCATTATGTAGCCGTTCTAGTAAATGATTAAGCATTCTCCTGTACCACTTCTCAGCAGATGATGGACCTTTCACATCCTGGTGGGAGATAAATTTAATATTTCTGAGCATGCTCCATGGTGCAATTACAAGTGCTATAACATTACAAAGACAAGCAAACATCTGAATTTCCCTCCTGTGTACTTCTCAGGAACGTAACATGGCCACCCAGAACGGGACAGGACTGCGCAGCCGCAGCTGCCGAGCACAGCTGGGTGCTTCGGGGTGCAGGACAAGGCCCAGCTCCGCGCTGTAAGGCATGGATGCATGGGGAGAGGCCGCTGTCGGCGGTAAGTAGCATTATGGAAAAAACTCCAAACCAGCAGGAGAGAAACAGTGCTCGATGCTCCAGTTTTTTTGATAGTAATCCCAAGAATCCAGTTCAAATCCCTATTGTCGACACGTAGGGAGGAATTCAATTTCTAGCATTGTTTCTCTGGGTCTGAACTGAGGCCATCTGCTCCTGGCTTGGTAATAAAAAAGAAAATAGGTTTCTTCCTGTTTCTTTCTTGGCGTGGAAACACAGCTTTGAGAAGAGAAGGCATGAGTCCTGGGAGCACTATGAAGTAGCTGAACCCTTCCCAGACGGTACACCGGCGACTGGGGAAAGGAGAGGGAGGGGAAACTCACCTAGCCACTAGCATCAAAAATGAAAAAGCAAATGAATTGTGAGGCTCTCCGCTTCAGAAACACCCCAAATTTGAAAAACAAAACCTTGAAAAGTTAAAACAAATGCCTCTTCTAAAAGTCATTTATTTACATATTATATGTCCAGTATATAATGTGTAGATAAATGCATCCTGCAGTGAAAGTGACCAACCTACTGGACTGAACAGCATGTCATGGGACAAATTCTTGAAAGGTTTAATCTCATATTGGATATATTTTAATTAAAAAAAAAAAAAAAAATCTGGCCAGGGCTGGGATGAGACAAACAGGAACACTTCAGAATCCAAGGCAGAGGGAAGGCTGTTTGCCTCTTTAGAGAGTTGTAGGGGTGTGAAAAGGGAGAGACAGATCATGCACAAAAGTACTAACAAATTACATACCCAACCCCCACCCCCTCAATAAAAAGAGAAGAAAAAGCCCCATCACTTAACACCAAACAGCAACATTATCAATAAACCCTTTCTCTGCTGCCCGTCACGCCTTATTTGAAAGAGGAGGCCTGTGAGGAGAGGTGAAAGAGCAAGGGTGAGAGGGAAGACCTGCACTTCAGTCTCCTTTCCATTTTCACTTCTCTTACAGGAATCTTCAGTCATCTGATGCCCTGCATCGAGCTCTGAGCAGACACTGAGTATGTAGGGGCCACGAGTGGGGTGCCGTTGTTGGCTGAGTAGCCTTGCCTCAACGTTTCAAAATACGACGCCTGCACCGGTTTGTGACACTGCAGCACTTTTATGGCATCTTCTATTTTAAACCATTCCCGCTTCCTTCCTGTGGAGGCAGAGAGTAAAAGAAATTAGTACAAAAGGGAAGCAGCAGCAGGTTTCTGATCCTGTAACTTTTGAGAAAACGCAGGAAAACAACCCACAGGAACTACTGTCGTTAATGTATTTCTTTTCTTTTTAAAAAGTTATTTCTTTATTTATTTATGGTTGCACTGGGTCTCGCTGCGTAAGGGCTGTCTCTAGGTGCAGACAGTGGGGGCAACACTCTACTGAAGTGCGCAGGCTTCTCGCTGTGGCCAGTTCTCTTGCTGCACGAGCTCTCGGGTGTGCATGCTTCAGTAGTTGTGCCGCATGGGCTGAGCTGTTCCAAGGTATGTGGAATCTTCCTGGACCAGGGATCAAACTCGTGTTGCCTGCACTGGCAGGCAGATTCCTAACTGCTAGACCACCAGCAAAGTCCTTCTTTCCTTTTTTAAACTGAAGTGTAAATGACCCACAGCACGGCAGAGGAGTTCCAGGCACACAGCACAGTGATTTGATGTTTCTGTTGTTGTTGCTGTTCAGGTGCTAAGTCGTGCACAACTCTTTGTGGCCCCATGAACTGCAGCATGCCAGGCTTCTCTGTATTTCACTACTTCCTGGAGCTCGCTCAAACTCATGCCCATTAAGTTGGTGATGCCATCGAACCATATCTCATCCTGTTGCTCCCTTCTCCTCATGCCTTCGATCTTTCCCAGCAGCAGGGTCATTTCCAATGAGTTAGCTCTTCTCATCAGGTGACCTCCATCATAGCTCAGTAGGTTAAGAATCTGCCTGCAATGCAGGAGACTCGGGATTGATTCCGGGTTGGGAAGATCCCCTGGAGAAGGAAATGGCAACCCACTCCAGTGTTCTTGCTTGGAGAATCCCAGAGACAGGGAGCCTGGTGGGCTGCCGTCTATGGGGTTGCACAGAGTCAGACACGACTGAAGTGACTTAGCAGCAGCTCTTCTCATCAGGTGACTTCCATCATAGCTCAGTCAGTAAAGAAGCTACCTGCAATGCAGGAAGATCCCCTGGAGAAGGAAATGGCAATCCACTCCAGTATTCTTGCCTGGAAAATCCCATGGACAGAGGAGCCTGGCGGGTTACAGTCCACGGGGTCACAAGGGTTGGACACGACTTAGCAACTAACCACCACCAACCACCACCACCACCATCAGGTGGCCGAAGTACTGGAGCTTCAGCTTCAACTTCAGTCCTTTCCATGAATATTTAGTGTTCATTTTATCATTGACTGATATTTCTACACAGGACAAAATAGCCACGATAGTTATCAACATTTAATAAATATATTTTTCTTATTTTCTTTTCTAACAAGGGTGATGGAAGCACACTTTGTATGTGTCAAATACTATACAAATGCCTAATACAGAAAATAGGTAAGAAATCTGAAAACTGAAGAACTGAGAGTAACGGTGTGAAACTTGTACTCTAGAAAGAACCACTGCTAGCTGTTTCTTCTCCAGCTCCTGGGCCTCTGACCTTCCGTGGCTGACACATACGTGCCTGAAGCCCAGCCAGCATTCCCATCTCCTGCAAATATAGACATGAAGCTGATGCAGCTTCCAGAATTACTGGGATGGCTGACCTGTAACCAGGTATTTATTTTTAAAATCCCATCTAATAGTGATACATCTGGGGTTTCTGTGATTGTCTACTGGTTAAGAATCCACCTTGCAATGCAAGGGACACAAGTGTGATCCCTGATAGGGGAACTAAGATCCCAGTTGCCAAGGAGCAACTGAGCCCAAGCACCACAACCAGAGCACCTGGGTGCCACAATAAAGATCCCAAGTGATGCAACTAAGACCCGACACAGCCAAGTAGAAATAACTAATAGAAAAAAGAAAAAAAGATGCTGAAAGGGTAGTTGGAAAAAAAAAGGGGGGGTGGACTTTCCTGTTAGTACAGAGGGTAAGAATTGCCTCCCAACTAGGGGAACACAGGTTTGATACCTGGTCCAGGAAGATTCCACATGCTGCAAAGCAACTAAGCCTGTGGGCCACGACTACTGAGCCCGTGTGCTGCAACCAGTGGAGCCCGAGTGCCTGAAGCCTATGCTCACAACAAGAGAAGACACCACAGGGAGATGCCCAAGCACAGCAACGAAGAGGAGTCCCCGCTCGCTGCAACCAGAAAAGGCCTGGGCACAGCAGCGAAGACCCAGAGCGGCCAAAAATAAATAAAAAGAGCGATGTATCTACAGTAAAGAAAATATTTTCCTAAAAAGAGGAAAATATAATCTCAACACAATCACTATTAACTTTTCAGTGTATTTCAAAATTTTTTTCAAATGCATGTTTTAAAATCCTTTATTATTTTTTCTCTGACAAAACTAACAAAAGATCACTGGTTAAAACTGGGAAAAACAGAAGCAAGCATAAAGAACAAGATAATTACCTGTAATCTTACAAACTAGAAGTAACTACTCTTAATACCTTAGTGCATTTGCTTATCTTTCACCTTATTTGAAAAAGACACAGCTATCTCAACAATTATAATTGGGATCATGCTTTAAGGTGCTCCGAATTCCTCGGAGGCCCTGACAGAGTGCTGCTGTTGGGAACATGGACACTGATGCTAATCTGCTGGGCTCTAGTCACGTCAAAGGCTCTAATAAGCTACGCAGGCTTGGGCAAATTACTGAACCTCTCTGCGCCCCTCTTTCCTCCTCTATAAAACAGACATAGTAAACAGGACTTATCTCACAAGTCTGTTGTGAGGGTTACACGTGAAGCATTTGAACAACACCTGGCACAGAGTACACGCTGCAAGACAGTGCGTTGTTGTTGTTGTGGCAGCTGCTTTTCCACTTCACTGCTGCTTAAGCATCCTTAGTAGGACACATCGTGGTTGTGTTACACCGTCTAGCATGGATGTAACGTTATTCACTTAATGATTTCTCTGCCACTGGACATCAATAGCTTGCTATTTTTATTATTATAAAGAATGCTACATGAGACAAGTGCTCGGGCCTGGTGCACTGGGAAGACCCAGAGGAATGGTGGAGAGGGAGGTGGGAGGGGGGATCGGGATGGGGAATACATGTAACTCCATGGCTGATTCATGTCAATGTATGACAAAACCCACTGAAATGTTGTGAAGTAATTAGCCTCCAACTAATAAAAATAAATGAAAAGAAAAAAAAAAGAATGCTACAATTTTAAAAATCTGAACCTTATATGGCTAGTGACATGCACTGCCAAACAGCCTTCCTGAAAGGATGTGCTGACCCCCAATCCTGCTTCTGTGCTGGAATGTCAGTTTCACCACACTCCTGCCAGCACTGTTAACTGTTGTTTGTCACTGCCGATTCTTTAGGTGAAAACCAGTACCTCATCTTTGTTTTCATTTCAAATTCCTGTTTTGATGTAGTCTTAATTAGCATACACATAATTCTATACCCTGTTTTCATTCACCTACTCAATCTCATAAGCACTTCTCCGTGGTACACAGCTTTCTTAAGTATGTGTTTAACACCTGCCTAAGGTTCCATCAGATGAATGGACCTTGGATCACTTGTCATTCACTGACCTGTGTATTTTAAGACCCAATTTTTCACCTGAAGATGGCTTATGTAAAGAAAGCTAACAGGCTTATTCCCTGTTAGCTACCTAAAACATATCTTAGATAGTTTCATCAGGGCCAATTCTCAGCAGCGGGAGCACGGGTGACGGGCTTGTCTGGGTGCTAGCAGAGCAGTGGCACCTTAAAACCAGCATCGCGAGTGTGCCACTCTGACCCAGCGGAGCAGTCTGAGGGCGGGGCCTGCCCCACCACGCTCACCTCTGGCCCCAGCACCAGCTATCGAGAGGTCTATTTTTAATACCCCCTCACCAAATTTATATTTAAGCTTACTGCACTCTTATCAAACACAAAGCAACTAAAAACTGAAAGGCTGTGAAATGTCCAGATCAACAGTGCTGAGAGGCACGATGGCAAAGCACATACTAACAATCGAGAGGTTCTGATTAGTAAATTCTATTTGCCAAATTTATAACAGAAATTAAATTAATTTTATGTTTTTCTATGCTTTTCCTTCAGAGCGCAAAGATTAAAACCATGAACCAATCATTAAATCATCTCACTTTTTAGGTCAAAAGATATATATACACACAACTGATCTGGGATCACTGAAAATGGCTCCTTAGGAGAAAAGGCGAGTTTACCTCAAGGGTAACATGAATGTAACCAGCAGTTTCCAGTTACTCCCACCACTCTGCACCTACCACACAGCTCTGGAGGGAGGGCTCACCCCACTGAAGTCCCAGTTCCCTCCAACAATATGAACAGCTGCAGTCCTGCTGGGGGTCAGTGGCCCAGCAGCAGGCCTAGCAATGTAGAGGCCACGATTAATATCTGCTGGGAGGATCCAATTTGGTTTTAGAAAAATCCAATTCTGGTTTTATTTTTATGGGCCTTGACTCTAATTGTTGACTATGCATCCAACTTCAGTTTCCTTTTAAACATTTTAAAAATATTATAGTACTTTTCACAAGTTCAAAAACAGACATGCTTATTTAAACACATCCTGCCGTTATTTTTCTTTATCAGGCTCTCGTCTGTGGTTCTGGGTAAAGAGCTGCAGTGTGGCCAAGGCTGGTCGTGAGAGCTCTTGAGAGGCCATCTGGGGACAACTTACCAATGCTGACTGAGTCTTCCCAGTCTTCCAGCACTTCTGTGACAATGAGCACATAGACGTATGTTCTATGCTTCCTCTCCTGGTTCTGAAGGGCAAAAAGAGAGGGACAGAGAGTTTTTCCTTAGAGAGCTGAGATTACATAAATGAAACAGACTCTACTGCATATGTCCAGAGAGCTCAGATCCAAGGACTCCTTTTACTTTTGCCGTCTGACAATCAGATATGGAATAGCGCCAGCTGGCCTACTTAAAACATGCCACACTTGAATCAGAGGGTGAGCTCTTTGGCTGGGCTTCCAAAGCCAAGGCTTTACCCTGGTTTTTCCTTTTTCTTCCCTAAAGAGCAACTTCTCAAAAATACTGAGAAAAGGATTGGGGACCTCTTGAGATAAAGATATGAAGCACATTTAACTAGCTAGCACAGCAGAAAAATAAGAGACTGTGATGGGCGGAGGGCCCATTCACGCAAGCAAGCGGATTATCTCACATGGCCCCTCCTCCTATCAGCCCTGCTCATCTTTATCCCCTGATTTCCGACTTTCTCCAAATCCCTACTCCAGTGTAAGTGCTTGTCAGTCTCTTCTGCAGCTGCTCATCTCCTATTTCTCCTGTCTCCTCCTCACTTATCCACCCCTTCTCACATCTTGGGAGGAGAGGAAGAGAGGTAGAGATGGGGAAAACAATTCTTACAAATAATTCTAGCTGTACGGGAGAGATTAATGGGATTTTAAAAAAGAAAGCACAGTATTCTCTCCTGGTGCTGCACTGTTTTGAAAACTTGGCGAAACAAAGATGGCATCTTTCCCAGGTGAAGACTGTAATGGGGACTTCTGTGGTGGTCCAGTGGTTAAGACTCTGAATTCCAAGTGCAGGGGGTACAGGCCTGATCCCTGATCAGGGAACTAAGATCCCACATGGCCAAAAAAAAAAAAAAAGGGACAGCAATGGACAGTGTTTATGTACCCGCTAACCCCACCCCAATTTCATGTTGAAATCCTAACCCTCAAGGTAATGGTATCAGAAAGTGGGGACAGAGGGAGGTGACTGGGTTATGACAGATGACCCTCATGAATGGAATCAGTGTTCTTATAAAAGAGACCCTAGAGATGTTTGGTCCCTTCTCTGCCATGCAAAAACATAGAGAAACAGCTTTCTATGAATCAGGAAGGGAGTCCTCACCAGACACTGAACCTGCTCCCACCTTTATCTTGGACTTCCTAGGAATCAATTTCTATTGTTTATAAACAACCCAATTTCTGGTATCTCTGTCACAGAAGTCTGAATGGTCTAAGGCCAAGATATATGTGGTTATTAATATAATACCAATTGCACCAAAGATTTTAACAGACTTACCTCAAAAACTCCAACTAATCTTCCCAAAGTCCCTTTTACTCCAGCCTGAAAAAGAAAAAAGAAAAATTTGTGCATTGACATTGCTTGCAGTGCTGGTCTCATTCTGAATCTTCTAGAGTAATCTGTAAAACAGAAGTAAATTGTACAACAGAAGTAAAAAGCAAGAGGACACAGCTCAGGTGGACTCCAGGTCTGTGGGAGTCCTAACAGTGTGTTCTCTGGTAACAGACTGGAAAGAGCAGGGTATGCTCTGGGGAGAAAGCCCTCCTCTCCTCTCCAGGTCTCTCACCACTGCACAACTGGCCAAACAGAGCACAACGATCAAGGCCACAGCCATACCAAAGATAGTCTGAGGTGGGAAGGACTTTGGTCATTTACCCATTCATTCACCAATATAAACGGAATGCCTAATCTGAGCCAAACAGTGCTGCAGATGCCAGAGGTACAGTGATGAATAGGCTAGAACTCAAGCTGCATGAGAATAAGACCCTTATCTGACTTGTTCTTGGCTGTCTGTAGACTGTACGTCCAGAAAAGAGCTCAGCGCCCAGCAGGACCACAGCAGAGAGGTGAGTCAACAAAACACAGTCCTGGTAATTCTGCTAAATCACCAGTTCTATGACAGGAATGCACAATGCATGTGATAGAGAATGATGGGGAGAGGGCAACTTTACACAGTGATCAGGCTTCTATAGTAAATACAATGTTTATCCCATCAGTCTTTTGGTATTTTTATTTTAAGATCTGTGTCTTTCTGATGCATTATAGGTGAACTTTTCGATATATTCCAATTTACTAATTTACTTTTCAACCATATCCTGGATAAAGTTATCCATTTCTAGTCCATTTTTTATTTGATTTTTTTCATATTTATGTACATCTACCTGTTTCCATTATGGATACCTTTGTTTCCATGATTTTTTTTTTGTTCTTTTAAAATAGAAGTTATTGCTTTATTTTTTTGAGCATCCTGAACATATTTAAGTTCTTTATCAAGTCATGCTACAACATTCATTTCATCTGAAGTTAATAAATAATTCACATTCCAACTGGTGAAGGGCTTATTTGTGATGCTGCTGTCAGAGGTTCTCCAGAGTGACAGTGTAGGGCTCCAACTCCAAGGGAATACAGGGAGCGCTGCAGAGACAGCCCCACCCTTCACCGTGTGCTGGGGCTGTGTCCTCTCCCTGGCTGGGCCCATACCTGGCTAAGTCTCAGCTCCCGGTGGCCTGGTCAGGTCAGGCACCTGACCTCCCCTTTACTCCAAGGGCGTCAACCACCAGCCAACCAAGGCCATGCAGGCTGCAACTTTCCTCTGCTCTTCTGCAATTCTGCTCTGTTTCTGATCTATAGAGGCATCCACTTTGCTTCTGGGTCAGGCTATGTCTTTTTAGTTTTTGGAAATGCATGGGGGATGCAGGAACTTGTTTTTTACTACAACTGCCATGTTATTCTGTACATTAAAAAAAAATAAGGCAAACATACTTTCTAAAGACAGCAGGTGCTCAGTATATTTGTACAGAATGAACAAAAATTTTGAATACGTTCTCCAAAAGTTCTTTGGAGATATTAAATAATAGAAACAACAGAAGCCAATTCAACGGCCTAGATTCCTGGGTGAGCTATATTTTTAAATTAATTTTTGCTAATTATCTATCAACGAATTATTTTCCTTTCTCTTGCCAACATGCTTGTTTCTTTCTCCATTATTTCCCCATGTGGCTTTTGGTCTACTTGAATGCAAATGTGTACATTTTCTTATTTAAACTGCTTTTCTACATTTTCAGAAATAATTGCACTCCACAGCCAGCTAAGACTAGCTAGGCTGGACTGCATGAATTAACCAGTGAAGCTGCCTGGATAAGTGGGACGAACGGGTAGGCCATGCTCATCTGGAAAGCCAGCGGTGGTCTTTGGTCCGAGGCCACCTGAACGCACTCAGATCAGCTCCTGAGAGGAGTCACCTGTCACCTGCCACAGGCCTCCCTTGACAGGGCCCAGGAGCAGAGCTGCCAGGCCACATGGGAGGCAGGCCCAACGCAGGCTGGGAGAGGGGGCAGCTCAAGCTAGAGGTTCACAGAATATCACGCACATTTCTCTTCTGCAAAGTGGAAAAGAGGTCTCTTCAGCAGTCACTGTTCAATTACTTATTCTTCTTAACGAAAACAAAGTACAGAAAAGGGAATACTCTCCAAATTTTGAGGGCATAAATCATCTTAATATTATGACAATACATATAATTTATTTAAAACTTTTAATTATAGTAATTTCTGCATTCAACACCAACATGTTTCTATGATTTACTCTGTGTTAGAGGCAGTTAGGAAAAAATATAAAAGCTTTTTTTTTTTCTTAATGAAACAGATGCATTTTTATAGTCTAATGCAAATCAAATAATGCTGTCATCTGTACAATGAAATTCAGTGGCATATATTTTCACTTCTAATTAGTCTAATTAACTACTTCAAATCAACAATAGTTCTATTTGTTCCTTAAATGTTTCTTTCAAGTTTTATTCTGATACTCAGGAGATCTACTTGGGGGAATTCTATCTAAGGTGATTCAACCTTATCTACAGTATTATCTACATTAAAAGCAAAGAAATGTTCCTATATCAGTTTTTAAAATCTGGCTTTAGCAGTTTTCTCAAGAGGAGGCTCTTCTTTTCTAAGAATAGGATTTTGGTTCTTTAAAACCACAGTGCTAGGAAAAGGAAGATTCCTCAGAGGCAAAGGTTCTTCGAGACAGCATTTACTGTCACCATTTTACTTTTTCAACAACGTTCCACAGTCCCACTTTCATATCCTAGCTCTCTCAAATGCTGCCACAAGCAACTGGACAGAGATATTTTTATCTTTCACATGATTCTTGCACGCAGGTCAGGATAGGTGTCAGGATCACATCTGACAGATATTTGGCTCAGACATTTGGGGCTAAGACTTGATTCAGGGTATATGTAAGCTTGGTCCAGTCACAGTGCTGGTATAGCCTGTTCTTCTCATAATCATATGAAAGCAGTTACTATTTCAATCAGTACTGTCAAAAGCCCCTAATCCAGAGAAGTCTTTATTTAAAAGTCCATCTTAGCCAGTAATAAGAATTTCAAATAAAGGAACCTCTGTCCTTCATTATTCAACCACATGCAGGTGAGTGGTCTCTCGAACTTCAAAGTATACAATATCAATTCTAACACTTTTGAGGTCTAGTTAACATAAATTAATTGAGCAACTGTCTACTTTTTAAGAAGGAAAAAAATGCAAATATATTTTTTCCTTTGGCAGTGTGTTACTGGGATTGGAAGTACTTACTGGAAAGGGCTGGAATGACAAGGGACACTCCAGTGTCTTGTCCTTCCCTCAGTCTCCAGGGGGTGTAGTTGAGGCCCAGGCAGAGGGACGGATCTATTGGGCCTCTGAAGTGTACATTCTGCATGTGCACACTCAGTCGTGACTGACTCTTTGTGATCCCCTGGACTGCAGCCCTCCAGGTTTCTCTGTCCATGGGAATCTCCAGGCAAGAATACTGGAGTGGGTTGCCATTTCCTCCTCCAGGGGATTTTCCCAACCCAGGGATCAAACTGGCATCTTCTATGTCTCCTGCGTTGCAGGTGGATTCTTTACCACAGAGCCATTGGGAAGTTCCCCTTGATGGGCCTTTGAACCTCCCCTAAAATGGTGGCCCATCACAAAGATCCCTGGCTTTGTGCTTAGTTTGGATGGGCATAAAGTGTACCATCACCTTCTGAAACGAACTTTTCACACTCAGGTGGACACTGTGGCAAACAGATGGCTATCTAGCCCACAAGCATTCTCCCTTCCTCCCTGCTGCCAGTAAGACCCAGACTCTGTTCAGGTGAGAACTCTGGCACACCTGAACCACAAAGGGAGGTCTGCCGCCCTCTGCAGTGACAGGTTTAGGGGTACTGTGTGCGACCCAGTTCCGCGTCAACGGTTCCTGAGAGGAATGTTTCTCAGAGGCGTCTCGGAAAGATTCCCCATCATGATAAGAAGAGCTGTACAAAAAGAAACCCTATATCTCCCTGCTTGTCAGGGGGGGATCTGAAACTTGGAGCTGCAACTGTCATCTTGTGATTCTAAGGGAAAAGGGCTAGAAAATACATGAGAAGTGAACCAAAGTCCTGATCCCCCAGCTTCTGGAGCAACAGGGTAATGGCCAACCCCTAGACCTCTTACGTCAGGAAAATAACTGTTGCTCTTAAAGCCACTTTTAGTCAGGTGTCCTGGAACCTGCATCCGAAAGCTTTCTGCTACTCTCCTTGATTTCAAAGTCAGTTCTCTGAGGAAAACTGTGTATTTCCAAAGAAAACTTCTGAACTCTCAGGGAGCTGTAGTATAAAATCTTTCTCTATCAAAAGCAATAAGCCCAGGCCTAAAAGGAGTTCAGGGCAACAACTCTAATGCAAATGTCTGCATGAGGAAACCTATGAAAAAAATATATGGTCTTCAATACATATAACTTTCTGGTATCCACCAGACTTAGCAAGTACAGAAGAAAAGAAATACAGTGAAGACAGATGAAGTAGATGAGAAGCCAGTATAAGTCCAGTGATATTTCAACCCATTTTTTAATTTTGCTTTTTAAATGAAATACTTCAAATATCAAAAAAGTAAAGAAAATAATGAAACAAACATTCAGGTAGTTGTACCTTTATTCTTCTACATAAATTTCAAAAACCAGTTTCTCAGAGCTTTTGAAAAATTCTTGGGGGATATTTATTTTTATTTTTGGATTAATTTGAGAAAAGCACATCTTTACAATATTTAGTTTCTTCATTCAAGAATAGACTATCTCTATCCATTTATTCATGTCTTTTAAAATCCTTTAATGAAGATTTATTATTTTTACTGTAAAGATCCTGTACTCTGTTAGCAAGGTATTTCAGTTTTAGTACAGTTCTGTTGTTATCGTGAATAATACATATCTTTACAAGTTACATATTTTCCAGTTGATTACCACTTGTTTAAAGAAACACTGCTGGTTTCTGCATATTGATCTTTGGTCTTGAAACTTTTTTGGGGGGGTTC